AAACACCTCCAGGTATCACCTGCATATCCATACTTGGCACATCCTCAGAGTTGGTAGAATAACGGGTGGGTTAGCCTCTGCTTTGGATCTTTCCCTGATTTAACACCATAGAAAACACCAAAAGTCAAGGACAAAGAGATACCCATGGAAATCAGCTACTCAACACCCACCAGCAGCATTCAAGGGGAGCTAGACGATTTAATAAATTCTTTCTGAAAACACCATATTTATACTCTTGGCTTTTTTCTTTCCTCTGCCAAGTTTCTCCTAGAATTTAAAACGTTCCTAGGCAAATTTATAGCTCATTTTCCTAAAAATAACAAAACAAAGAAACGACTGTGTCTGAAAACTAGACGACTTTCTAAAATACTTGCTAGGATGAGAAATAGCGTAGTAAGAAGGTGCCCAAATGAAACGTAATCATATGGCACAATATCCCTTTCTGTTAGGGTCTTATAGAGACCTTACCATGTTTCTCAAAGGGAACATCATCCTCCACAAACGGCTCAAAATCTTCCCGCTGCTTTATCATGTAATCCACCGTTTCCTGGCGATGCTTAAGGTGGTTCCGCGAATGCCCCTCGAGCTGATCACCAAGGGCTCGAAACAAACAGTTGCTACCAAAAGAGAAATCACAAGTAGCGCGTGTGAAAAGTGGCCCTTAACAGAGTACCCCAAAGCAATAACCCTGAAGGAGCAGCAGAGAGAAAACAGCCCAGGCAGCAGAAGTTTCCTCCCAGGGCAACCAACACTGCCAACACCAAGGGCTGCAGAGGCTTCTTCGTTATGCAGCCAGACTGGAAGCACAGTCAGGCCAGCGTTAATTGGAAGAGAAGGGAGCTACGCTCCTCCTGACCAGGAGGTCAGCAGGGATATGGACGCCAAATACCACCTAACCCCAGCACTTTGAACGATGGCTCAACTTGGAATTGGTAATATGAGCATAAAATTAAGCAAAAACACAACTATATCACACACAGCAAGCCAACAGCATGAACAGCACCAGGCCCAACTCTCCTAAATCTCCACCAGGCCAAGCTATAGTGCCACCAAAGGCAGGTCAGTGCTGCACCAGGCGACTCCCCCGCGGCCACGCTGCTACCCCCCCTTTCTCCCAGTGCTCCTGACGCCCCCCACGTCCCCTACAGCCAGGGTGGCCCTCAGCGACCTCGGGGAGCCCCGAGCCCTGCTGGGGCCGGGCCAAGGGGGCGCAGGGAGCTCCCGGAAGCACCGCGGCCGAACGCTCACCCGTCC